CAAACTTGCCCCAAATTAAAAAAAAAAAAAAAAAAAAAAATCATTTAAAAAAAATCAAGACTACCTTTCTATCTTATTTGTCAAATGAAAATATTGGTAAGCAGTGACAAAGTTCATTAAACTCTTGATTTTAAGAAGACATATTTTCACTTGTATGCAGCATTAACTTACTTATTTTTCACTGCCATTTAAAATGTCAAGCATTACATACCACAACTTATCCATTCCAATGCCAACAACAATTGTTTCCAGTCTTCTATGATCGATCAGGAGCACTGTTCCCATGAGCATTCTTGAACTTGAGCACTCCCTGACCACAGGTAGCTGCTCTGCTGTGGTATGGGCCTTTCCAACTTTATCAAGCAATGTCCAGTTGTTCTCTCTAAACAGAATCCCAGCTGAGGTCTCCTTTCCTGAGAGGCTCTGGTACCCAGCCCTGCATATTTTGGGTTTTAGTTCCTTTGCTGCCAAGCTGATGGCGGAGAGTTGTTACTTCGATGATCTTGTGATTCTCAGACAATGATAGGACTGAGATTCTCTTTACACGTTACTGTCCACTAAAGTTCCTACTTCTTTTAAAAGCTTGTCAAATCTTTTGCTCACTCTTCGACTGGGTTGATTTTTCCTTATTTGGCTCAACGAGGTTTTTTTCAACAGGATAGTTGCATATTAATCATTTTACATTTATGTTAACATGTATCTTCCTCCAATTTGTGCTTTAGCTATCACTGCCTTTTAGGTGTTCTACGTTGACCAGCAGGCGCTAGAAGAATACTATAGTCTTTACTTTCCCAGTGAACTCTGAGACTGAACTGATATGTGAGACTGAAGAGGACAGAAGTGACGGGTGGTTCCAAAGGAGATAGCTCAGTCGGCAAAGTACTTGACTTACAGTCCTAAGGACCGGAGCTGAATCTCTAAAACACATATAAAAAAAATCCTGGAGAGGTGGTAAATGCTTGCTATCCCATCACAGGGTGGTGAGTACTGGCAGATCCAGTGACCAGCCAACCTAACCCACTTGGTGCGTCCCAAGCCAGTGAGAGACACTGTCTTAATCGTTTTTTTTTAAAAAAAAGTTTTTTGGAGAGATGGCTCAGTGGTTAAGAGCACTGGTTGCTCTTGTAGAAGACCCAGGTTCAATTCCCAGCACCCACATAGTAGTTAACAGCTGTCCCTAACTCTAGTTCTAGTGGATGTGATGCCCTCTTCTGACCTCTGTAGGTATAGCATGACACAGGTACATTTACATACATTCAGCAAAACACTCATGCACATAAAATAAAACTAAATAAAATAAAACAAAAACCCCCACCAAGAACAAAACAAGGTAGACAACTCCTGAGAAACCACACTTGAAGTTGTCTTTGATGTACACACATGAATCTGCACATATGCACAAAAGCCGAGCTTGAAATGATACATGTATGTAATTGTGAACAACAGCAAAAAGAATTCATTAAAAAGAAATCTCCAAAGTATTAAGGGAAGCGAAGACTGGCAGTGGGAAACATAAAGTGGAGAAACAAGGCTGCTGAGCTGCTCTGAAGGAAAACAGACGTAAACCCAGACGGCTCACGTAGAAGACATTTCAGTGCCTGCAGACATCAAGGAAAAGTGGTACAAACTGCCCTACATATTTCCTGACAGACTGCAAACAATAACGGTATGGGCAGTGCTCATTCTGATGGTTTGTGGACTCAATTTATGCAGCAAGATGTGGGCTACATGGACTATAGTGACAGGTCAAAGCTGGCCTACCACCTGTTTTGCCTGGTATGCAAGCTGGGGATGATTTTAATATCTTTAAGTGTTTGAAAACAGTATTTCACGATACGTGAAAATTATATGAAACTCACATTTTCGTGCCTATTCATGTGCTCCTGTCTGAGAGGGAGTTTCTATACTCCGAGGGTAGCATTCACATGGCTGACGAGCCTACACTCTCCACCTTTACCTTTAGCAACACATTCACACTGGTCTCAGCAAATGAACTATGCAAAGATTTTATTCTTTCTACTTTCTGCAATAATTTGGATTTAAAAAGAGTTAACTATTCCTTGAAATTTTGGTAGACATAACCTGTAAACTGCATTGAGCTGAAGGTTTTGGAAACAAGGGTCTTCAATACTTTAATGATTTAAAAATAATCATTCTTCTGTTCACATGTTCCATTTCTCCTTATACCAATTTTGACATTTTGCATTTAATAGTATATATCTGTTCATAAAATTTTAAATTTTGTAATTCTTTATCGCTAAAAATTAGGTATTTATTTTCTATTCCAGTCTAAATTTGACTTAAACTTAATTTCTCAGCAGTCTATCCACCTCATCTGTCCAAAGGACCAGGCTCTTGTTAGCCCTTCCTAAATGCAATTAGCTAAGCATCACAGAATTGCTTCACACCAATAAGACTGCATAATGTGATGAAAAGAGATACCATGTACAACAGTTGTAAGATAATGTTTAGAATTAATTTAACCAAATACATACAACTTTCCTATAGAGAAAAACATTCTAATCTCTAATAAAAGACAAAGAAAATGAGTTCTTTAAGTAGGATGTGTTGTCTTTAGGTGACATAATTTAATATTCCAATTTCTGTGAAATTAACCTTTACATCCAATTAAGTTCTAAAAAAAGCAGTCATGCTTTTGGAAGGATTCAGTAGACATAGTCTAAATGTGTATGAAGGAACAGGTCCATGAGCAGCTATGTTAACTGGATTATCTAGAACAGATACCAGGCCAAACTACAAAACCAGAGGCCTAAGAACTATGGACTTGCTGAGAGAGAGATAAAAAGACCAACAAATCAGAAGAGCCGAGATGGACCCCTGCATAATATAATGTTGCTCCACAGACAGACCAGAAAATGACGGATCATTTCAGTGGGCAGTGGAGTGAAAACTGATTTACAGTGTGCGAGGAGGATCCTATTTAGTACAAAAACAAGTAGACTTGGGCCAGGAATGGATTTGGTCTGAATGCCTGATGCCTGTTTCTGTAAATAGTTTTCTTTGGAACAAGTGGTGTCCATTCATGTCCCTAGTCTGTCTGTTTTTGTGCTACTTTGACAGGCTGAGTAACTGTGAAACCAGTGCCTTCTGAGGCTGAGACATTTACTGTCTGACCCTTAAAAAGGATTTTTGCTGACTCTTGCTCTAGAGGAAGTAAAGGCTTTAATAGGTAAACTATAAAATAAGCAGAAGGATATTTATCAGAATGTCTTTTTGACATTTTGGTTGTTAGCCTTAAGTCTTAGCCTGGTGTGAGACAGAATTTCTTAAAGACCTAAATTACAAACCTTAAGGCAAGAAATTGCCATTTAAACCTTTCTACTAATTAAAACACACTGGATGAAGAGAGCAGACATGAGTCTGAGAAAAGTCACCTGCAGAGCTTCAGATCAACAGAAGGTCATTATCTTAACAGACAAGAAACAGAATTCAGCAAGAAGAAAACAACAGCATCCAAAGAAAAGTACAGAATTTAAATAAGAGGTGTTCAGAAAGGAAAACCTGTGTTGATAGTAAGGAAAGGAAGAGATGCTGAGACTCATTAGTAAACACAAAAATGCAAATTAAACCAATAAAGAGATGTTGCTTTATACCTCAGCTATTAGGTACTATTTAGAAGGATATGCAATTGTATTTTTGTTTTTTGAAAATGTATTTGTGTATGTACGCACGTGTGCACACATGTAAAAGTCAGAGAAAATCAGCTCGGTAATCCCTTGAGGCAGCATCTCTAATCAGGAGCTCGCCACTTTGCAGCTGGTAGCAACCTCCTGCCCCACACCCCCAAGTGCTGGGGTTACTTGTTTGCATGTCCACACTTGAGTTTTGACCTGGGAAGGGATCTAATTCAGGTCCCTACACTTGCATAGCAAGTGTTCTTATTGACTGAGTCACCTCACCAGTGCCCCACCCTTTTTATCCTTTAAAAATCAAATTTGACAGTATCAATACAAACCAAAATGAAAACCCATCACTTTTCTTGGACTATGTAACAAATGTAATGAATATGTACCACTACTTTATCAGCAACTTATCAGTATGGATATTTAGCAACTGTCTATTGAGTTGAACGTATAGCAAGTACTGACAAGCTGCATTAAGAAAAGATATAATAAATACTGCTAAATAGTCTAGTTAGTTTTCTTAATTCATCTTTGCAAGTCAGAAAACTAGCCAGGATAAATTTGTATGTCTTCCTGCTAACCCAAACACCAAAATTTACTAGAAATTGTGACAGATTTACATTTTCAAGGATTTAAGAATATTACATTGCTGTTTTAAAAACCATCGGCTTTTTGTATTCTTGATAGAACTGAAAGTGGGTTATGTGTACACACACATCATTAGAGACCAAGAGGTAGAATTAAATTCTCATGCATCCTTCAAAATCTTACAATGAGCATACCATGTGTATACAATTTACATCTGAGCCAGCTGCTGCTTCTCCCCTCCTCCTCCTCAGTTCATGGTCCAGTTATAGCAGCAGAGCTCAGTGGCTGCCCTTTCATGTCTCTGAGTGTCAGCACAGTGAACAACACAGAGCCATGACTCTAGTTCAGATGCTGGCAGCATAAATTCTATTCTTAATTCCTCTTCCTTTTTCCAGATCCTCCCTTCCTGACTCTGCACGCCCCTCCCCCAATCTAAACAGTATTCTCCAGGTAGTTTTATTCTTACATTATTCTCCAGGGTGTAGGAGTGATGGGCCTGCTCGCTCAGAGTTCCCTTTGGTTCTTTATGTATACTCTATATTCAGCTATAAAACAAAATTTCCCACTGAATAACTTTGTCCCCTGCCAGACCCCCTTAAAAATATCCATTTGTTTTCTGTGGCCTGCAATAAAAAAATCCAAACTTTCTGGCTGGCTTTCATTAGAATCCTAGGCCCCAAGATGATCTCCTGAGCTTCAGCCATCCGGAGTCCTTGTTTCAAACCCTATCTATGACAAAGTAGACAGAGAACCATAAGATAAAGTTACAGGCTAAAAGCAGAACCAACAAACACAGCTTCAAATACAATATGAGCTAACCCAGGAAAACAAACATTAAGAAAAGGATGGGAAAGAATCAATTCGCTGTTTCTCAGAGGTATTTTATTATTGTCTTGAGGCCAGGAAATATATTTAGACATAAGAGATGTCAATCACTCTGGAACAGGTGAAGGAGGGAGGCCCTTGTACTATGAAGATAAAGTCTTCCTCAAACCTCTGGGCAAGACTCAATGGAAAGAATGAAGGCCCTCGTGGAGAGGACAGAATAGATTCAGTGGCTACAGTGAGCTGCCAGCCATGGAAAGCTGGCCAAAAGTGAATGCCATGTAAGCCTTCTTCAACAGCAGCAGAGATGTTGAGGAGTCCACAGGTGCCAGCACCGCACAGTAAGAAAGCAGCTATGGCATTTTCAAGAAACATGTAGGTTCTGCTTAACCAGCAGAAATCAGAACCAACTCTCTGAAGCCAGGTGGATTTGGGCCCAAGTTCAGTGTCAGGAAACAGCTAGGGAGAACAAACCCAAGCAACTTAAAAGAAAATGCACAAGGCAGCATAGAAGTAAACTCGCAGATTTCCAGAGGACACTCAAGTGTCTTAATTCCCAGAAGGCCAAAGACTGTGTCATAAGAATTTGTGTATGGGAAGAAATGCAATTATATTTTGTTGTCACAGGCAGATGACCCCAAGGATCCAGGGAATACATTTTCATTCTTTAAAGTGCCAATAGCTACTGTCATATCTTAGTGCCTTCCTTTCCTCCCTAGACAATAGGTGCCTTTTAAGCAGAAACTACACTTGTCAGAAAGTTTCCCATTGGACTGCTATGGCCCCAGCTAACTTTGTTTCCTACAAACCTATGCATGGTGACTCTTCACATAGCGATACACCGTTATCTGTCTGAGGAAGAGATGAACTCATCTTTGCCTTCTAGGTCTGGGTTAAAAGTGCTGCAGAGTTGTCTACAAGAAGGATTACACAATATTTCTTTTACAATATGGACAGTAGTTACCAACAACAACTGCATATAAAATTATGTTCTTAAACAAAACAAGCCAACTTACTAGTAATCATTGCTCCAGTTACCGAAGCCAGAAACCCGATGCTGATGGCAATAACAGAGATCACTCTCCCCTGCCTGTGCCTCTGTAGCATCACAAACATCAGCACGCCCGCAGCACCGTGGACAAACAGAGAGGAGAAGAGAGCCCAGAGGAAGATCCAGTACCACATCTCTGAAAGGAGAAGAACAGTATTAGTCCTGCTGCTGAAGTGTGGTTTAAAAGATCCAGCAAACAGTGAGCAGCCCATGGCTAAGGCATATAAAAGACCTAGCCTGGTGTCTGACACACAGTAGTACTAGACAAGTCATAACAATAATCATCAACACTAACAATGGGAAAAAAATCCCTTCATGATCTAAGAAGGTGATGCCTGCTCCCATTTCTCTCCAGATGCTAGTTGAAATGTGATCATTTATTTGCTGGCTTGTCTCCAAAACCCCTACCATTCGATAACTTGGAATGAATTATAAAAGCTAACTGATTGCTGTTCAATATATATTTTTCAATTTTTTTGTACACTAAGAAGTCCTAAGACACTTGGAAAAAGTACACATTAAGTCAAACCATCCCCCAAATCACTCACTGAGAGCCAGATGTGGTAGTGTACATCTTTAATCCCAGCACTTGGGAGCAGAGGCAGGTGGATCTCTGTGAGATCAAGGGTCTACATAGAGAGCTCCAGGCCAGCTGGGGCTACAGGGAGACCCTGTCTCAAAAAAGCCAAACAAAAACAAAACAATTATTTTACCTTTTATGATTTTATAATTTCAGAAAGTCCTTATAGCCTTCAACTTCACAAACTTTAAAAAAATCAGGTTTTTACAAACTTTCTCTCCTGTCAGTCCAATGATTTTTACCCAGGGCCATTCTCAGTCCTTTATTCTCTCTTCACCGTGTCCAACTGTTCACAGCAGTCTCAATTCATCACAGGCAAGGAGCACATCTTACCTACAGTCTCTCCAGTATTCATCACTATCTTTCTACCAGGATCCTGCTGACTCCCTGTCAATCACAGTCTTCTCATAGACACTGATACTCTGTCCCTGTATAACTTCATTATACAGGGACATACTCATGGGGTACAAATAGGGGCAACAACTGCTCTGAACTGGGTCAATCACTCCCTTCCCCTGGGTTTCTTGACTGGGACCCACTGAGTCTCCCTGGTCTTTGGGCAGCTGAAGCTGAGTCTATTTCCGTATCACACGATGAAAGCCCCAGTACAGAAAGAAAGAAAACAGATGCACCAAAGACAAAAGGCAATCAAATCCCTTACTCTAGTGACTTCTGAGGTCAGTCACACTATTACTCTTACATATAGCACGACATCCCTGTTTCTCTGTAAAAAGCTGGCTGAACAATGTTTATCTGTCCCCTTGAGGGTCCTCTTTGGTGTACAAACATTCTATAATGTTAAGGGTCTCTTCTGCTGTTGGTGCTCATGTTCATTTTCTGTCAGGTTTGTAAAAGTCAATGAAATGATCATTAAAGGGGGACACAAAATTGTTAATCAAACACGATTAATCCAAACATCATGGTAGAAATTTACAACAGTGCAATGACTATGAAAAACAGAATGTCAGTTCCTCAAAAACCTAAAAACAATTATCATATGATCCAAATCCATCTCTGCATATATACTTGTGTTGGTGAGTTTTCACTGTCAACTTGATACAACTTAGAGTCACATGGAAAGAGGGGACCTCAGCTAAGGAATTTCCTAGATCAGACTGCCCTGTGGACAATACTGTGAGGGATTCTATTGACTGATGATTGATGTGGAAGGTGCCATCCCTAGGGATGTGGGCTTGGGTCACATAAGCTGAGCATGAGCCAGACAGAGCCAGCAGGCAGCATTCCTCCATGGTTCCTGCCTGCCTCCAGGTTCCTGCATCACCTGCCCTCAATGATGGACTGTGATCTGAATGTGTAAACCAAATAAACTCCTTCCTCCCCTGAAGTGCTTTTTGGTAGCTGTCACACAAAGAAAATGAAACTAGATTAGAAACTGGTAACAGGGAAAGTGGGGTGTTGGTATAATAAACCTGACTGTAATGAATGTAACAGAAACATAACAAATATCATAGAACTTAGAATACAGAAATAGAAATCCAATCTGTAAAAACGAAAGTGACTGAAACCAGGAACTATGTGACAGCTATGGTTGACAAGATAAGCTGAACTAGGAAGCATGAGCCTTAACTGAGTGAAACAGAATGTATGTGTGTGATAAGTAACCCAAGAGCAGTCACCATATCTAAGACACCAGCTGAACTCACTGACGTCAAGACAATGACAGACTGACAGTAAAAAGCATATAAAAAGCCAGAGACTCAGGCAGTTCACCGATGCTTGACAACTCCCGAGACCAAGGCAGACCGTCATTCTGTCTGGCTGCATCCCGACGTTCTTGCCCAAGACATCGAGACACCGAGACTCTGCCCGAGACCTGCCATAACTGCATGTGATCATCAGGACCTGCAGCTGAGCAACTTCTGCCGGGAGAGAGCAACGATCATGGCAGACGCTAAGAGCCTCCACACGGAGCACCTAAGGACTGGGACGTTGGGCTCTGGCCCTGAGGTACTCCCTAAGATCTAGGAGCTCTGAACATTGGTTCTGTTCTTCCTGCTTCTCCCCTTGAGTGTTTGTGTTGTTTGTGAATGTATTTTGGGCTTCTTGTGTGAAATATATTGTACTTACAACCTCTCACTCGTGTGGAATCTCCTCTGTCCGTATGCGCCCGTCCTGGCTCTCCCGAACAGCAATATCTGGACAGTTCTGACCCTCAGGATTGATCCAAATCCACCTCAGGACACCTGACCATGTGGCTTTTATGTCTTTGGACTATTCTGTCGGGGAATTTGGAACTTTGGGCTGTGAAAGCTGTTGAATGTTGGAAGGAGAGCTTAAGGGGTTATTCTACTGGAACCTTGGAAGACAGGAATGCTGGGAGAAACGCAGACAGTAGAGGTTTGTCTTGTGAGGTTTCAAAGACAAGGACTGTAGCAGAAACAGGGGTAACGTTCATGTGGTACATGGCAAAGAATATGGCTGCATTCTGGCCATGTCCTAAGAATTTGTGTAATGGATTTCTTTGGCAGAGGAAATTTCAAGACAGGAAACTGAGTTTGTGGCAAGATTGTTACTGATTATTCTGATACAGGACTACAATGAAAAAGAGCCAACAAGTAGGGCAGTAAGAAAATTTTAAAATGTGTAGTTTGGAAGGGAAGAGAGCACTAGGAGGCTGACTGTTAAAGCATTATTAAGAAGCCTTTTTAGCACTGGAATAGGAAAGATGCTGAGGGCAAAACCACACCCCGCTAAACCTCCGGCTTGTGAAGGAAACAGAGGTCCTGCTCCTCTAAACTAACTGCTACCAAAGTTTCTTTTTGCCAGCTCAGTTCAGCAAATAGAAGCTGTTGCAACTGTGGTCCAGGGGAACCAAGGTCCATTCAGAATGTTTAGCTGAACTTGGTAGTGTCATTCATGTGGTGCTAGAGTTTTTCTCCACGGTTTTGAAGAGCCACTGAAGCCAGGCACAGTGTGGCAGGGTTGGAGTCCCTGTAAGGAGGTCCTGAGAGACCACTGTGTGAAGCTGTGAGAGTGAATCCTGGGTTGCAGGGGAGACTCCAAGATGTCAGAGATGCCAGAGTCAAGAAACATCTGCCAAGAGAGTTGCATACAGGGAGTGGAACCAGCCTGTGAGATGCTCCCCATAGGCAGCAAAGCTGGAAGGGTAAAATCATCTAAGTCCTTTAAATTTGGACCCAAATACCAAACATGCAGCTACAGGATTTGGTGTATGTCCTGCTGTGTTTCAGTCATGCTATGGTCTAATCTTTCCACACTATGCTCTCATAACTCCCTTTTGGAATGGAAATGTATATTCTGTGCCATTGTATGCTGGAAGTATGCAATTTGTTTTGAATTTCACAGGAAGTCACAGTTAAGAGATTGTGACTTTGAACTTTTGAATAGTGTTGAGGCTATTAAAGGCTATGGAGACTTTTAAAGTTGGTCTAAATGCATTTTGCACCATGAGATGGTCAATAAGCTGATGGGGACCAAAGGTGAAATGTGGTGATTTGAACTGGATGTGTCCCATAGGCTCATGCATTTGAAAAGTTGAACAATCCCCAATTGGTGACACATTTGGGAAGGTTATGTATGGGACCTTTAGGAGATGGAGCCTTGCTGGAGGAAATACATCACTGGGGGTGGGCTTTGAGAGTTTACATTCTCACCCCACTTCTGGTTCTCTGTCCTTCCTGTATATAGATGAAATATGACTAGCCAGCTACCTGCTTCAGCCACTATACCTTCCCCACATGATGGACTCCATTCTTCTGGAACTGTAGGCCAAAACAAACCCTTTCTTCTTTAAATTGCTTTTGTTAGGGTATTTTATCACAGCAATAGAAAAATTAACATAATGGTCAAAAGGATAAAGAGTAGTGGCACCAAGAGATACTGGCACAGCCGTGCTCATGGCTGTATAGCCATAAAGCTGACAGGAAGAAGCAACCTAAATGTGCAATAACACATGAATGAAAAACACACCACATAACCCTATGATGGAAAATTATTCACTTCTAAAAGGGAAAGGGTCAGAAAAGACAATCTTCGGTAAGACAAATCCTGCTTTTTACTCCCTTCTTTCATATGGGATATTGTTTTAATAAAAGAATGGGCAAGCTCTTGTTGGGGAACACAGTTCTGAGAGACATCTGAAGAAATAGGTTCTTAACAGTTCTGGTCCTCTCTTGGGCTTAAAATGGATGCTAAGAGTCAAGGTGTTATTTGCGTATCATTGTAATGTGGGACTGCATATAGTAATTGCTGCATTTTGGTACCCATGTGAGGAAGAAGTTCTCTACTCCAAACTCAAAAGATAGGCTCCCGGAGAAGTCCCAAGGAAAAAGGGAGTTACTGGACATTCTGGGTCATATACAAGGATAAGTCACATGAAAATAAGCACAGGATTTCTTGATGGCTCACAGTGGCACACATTAATAATAATTTGCTCATCTTTTGCTTTTATGTCCCAGTAAACTGGGCCTGAATTGCAAGGAACAAGTTCTAAATTTTCACTTTCCTCTTCCCCTTTTCTGCTTTTGCTATGGGGATCTCCATGTCTCCTGAATCTCATGTACATGCACAGCAAT